CTCATTGTATGTCACAGAAATCTGGTAATCCACTAGTATCAGCAGAATTGAGGGCTCATTCACACCAACTTGCAAGCCAAAATGATCCATTTTAGTGTGTTTGTTTAAAATGTATTGAAATGTCAGCCACATTTAATTCACCGCAGCTGTGGTGCAGTGACTGTTGCTGGCATGAGGAGAGGTGAGGTACAGATAAATACAGCATGTCTGCATTTTTTTGCCCTCTATCACAACCCTCCTAAAGGCAGCATCGGGGTGTGAACAGCGTACATAGAAAACAATTGTTTTCTATTTGCCCCTATGGTGATTTGTTTTGATCAGGTGAAAAAAAAACAAACGTCATAGCACATGGTGTGAACAAGCCCTTACAATGAAAGCTTCAGCAATTTAAAAGTATTGTTATATTTAGCTTGGTTCAAGAGGAGGACCTTGTCAATAATAGCTTCACAAAGAATGTTAAGATCTGTTCCTTAGGCAAAGAAGAATCCCATGGCCTTTCATGATTCTGTTAGTTTCTTGTTCCCGGCATGACTCAGTGATAAGTGAATACTACAGCATCCATTCTGTCCATGTTATAGCTGAATGGAGGATGACATTTGCTGAATTAGGAAAGTTGTGTTGACTTCTGATAAATGAAAGCTACACATGAATAGGTACAGGGTCAACAGCACCTCTTTACTAGTCTATATAGTGAATTACTTTGCCTAGCTAAATTCCCTGTGAATCCCAGTTTAGGCAAACCAATTTGCTCATCACTAGTTGCCATGTTCCAATGTGAGATTTCACTATTTTATTATTAATTTATTACATGTATTTATATAGCATCAACAATTTTACACAGCGCTTTATTAAGTGCACATTCACATCAGTCCCTGCCCTCAGGGAGCTTACAATCTAAGGTCCCTATCTCACATGCATACATATAAGGGCCAATTTAAACATGAGCCAATCATCCTACCAGCATGTATTTGGAGTGTGGGAGGAAACCAGAGTACCCAGAGGAACCCCACACAAGCACAGGGAGAACATGCCCCTCTAATTAAAAATATGGGCTGCCTTTAGATTGCCCTGTAGATTATTTTAACTGATCTCATTGAAGGATTGAGATTTCTTTCTTTCAGTCTAAAATGAGCTTGGAGTAAGCCCTCAATTTAAAATAGATAGCAGCTATAACTCTTTTTTAGCATACAATGAAAATGCTGTTTTGGATCCAATGACCACCAGGTAAAATGCGTAAGTGACACTATCTCAAAATTAAGTTGAGCAGTATTTTCAGGTAGAGATGAGTGGGTAATTGAAAATCTGCTCCACCATTGATTCGGCAGTGTGCAGTCCATTATTTGCTTGGTGAATGTTCAATTTGCCTGGTGTATTAGTGAACTGGGAACTGTAATGGGATGCTTATGGAGAATATATATATATATAAAATCACTAGAAATCATTACATTTTGATCATTGTCCTACAGGGACAGAGAAAAAAAAGTTGATTTGTTTAAGAGATCATCTTTGTTTTATTGCTGCATTTCAAATTGGAAATATGTGCAATAGTCAATATTATTTAAATAATATTGAAAACAGCTAATGTGTGGCTTCTATATCTCTTGTTCCCTCCCTAAGATACATATCATGCCTATATTGGGATTAGGTGCTGTTGTTAATGTGAAAACCAGATCTTTTCTGTCTTTTATACCCAATCTAATGATCCTACAAGCATGTGAATCATTTCTATAAGCAAAAAGGAAAAGTGGTAATTAGGAAGTCCATTAGTTTTTGGTACTGAATATTCAGTAGTTCACAATAACAACTGGTAATATTGATTTCAGTGACACAATTAAAATGTCATGCTAATCACCCTCAGGTAATTTATCCTCATATTTTACAGATGACTGTGATACAAAGAAACTGATACAACAAGTTTTAAATTCTGTGTTGTATCTGATAGCATAAATAATAACATATAAAACATGCAGCTGCTGGAGGCCAATTTCTTTGTGAAGTTGTTAAACAGTTGCTCATCTATATAACCAATCAGTTGGGGGTGTGGAAACATATCTCTTAGTTCTGCTACCTGTCGGCCAGGACCTCATGTAGGGTGTCATGATAAATTTTACTCTATAGTTCCCTAGTTCTAATTCTCATCTCAACCACAACAGTGTAACCTTAACTTTTCACAGAGACTGCTAACATAACTTCCTGTAAATACTGCAACTGCCCCAACTATGTACCCAGTAAAAGCAAAGACATTGACCGAAATCATGAAAAAATCAGTGTGGATACCATATCAAAACATAACTGGTGGCAAATTATCAGTGTGAGGCTAAAAAGCCAAGCTGTTTTTTTTCCTTATATGAATTGTTTTCAATTTATTATTGGCAATCTACACACTAACAAATAATTTTGGCTAGAGGTCATTCATTATTATCACTAATACAACTGAAAAATATGTGCAACTGAGAGGTTAAAAAAAATATTAAGGCAAGATCCACAGGCAAAGTGATGTTATGTGATACAAGATTATGGCACCCAAAAGTGACCTTTTAATGTTTTTACTTTACGCCATAGCCAATCCCTATTATAGATGCATAGCAGGATATTGGTGTGAGGTGATCCTAACATCCATTTATGTTTTAGAGTTATAAACATAGTCATAATGAACTTCTGAATAAGACAGGTTTGTGAAATACACCATTATTACAGATTTACTCTCTAATATTGTAATACATACAGTATGATATACTTGCAAGTTTCAAATAGTATCATATTTAATTATTGTATCCAGCACCCCCATAGATATGTATGTTTATATGTGGGTGTTATATTTTTCTAAGATGTAATAAGTAACAACTATCTTTCTTGGTATTACTTTTAGGGTTTGACTTACTGACAGATTGTATTGTTTGAATAGCATAGGCATGACAGTTGTTACTTATCATAGCTTAGCAAAATATAACACCCACATATATACATAAATATATGCTACCACACATTAGTTACATATTATATCTGAAGTTGGTATCAGTACTTCTGCTGCATGAAGTAAAACATTTGGATAGGTAAGGGACACCCTTAATTAGAGCTGTGTCTCAGACATTATATAAAATGTATTTATGCAAACAAAATAGGATGATCTGAATGGTCTGTAAAATAGAGTGATCTGTATCTTCTATTTATTATATAACATCCAGTATATATATACATATATTATGTGTACCAAGAAGTCAGGGCTTGAAACAACCATAACAACCTAAATATTATCTTTGTGTACCAAGCCTTATATGTTTATAATGAATCACACCTATGATATTAATCATCTCAAAAGACTGGTAATGCGAATATACAAACATCATCGTTCCTGTCTCATACATACACCTTGTCAATGGCCACTGATATTTGGAGCTACTATTTACAACTGTAAGTTATGGTGTGTGTGTGTTACTAAAGATCGGCATAAAACAGCACAATGTAAAATCCATATCTCTAAATTTATATAAATGCAAGTTTGAAGTTGGACTGTAATAATTTTAATAAACATATATTACATAATGCGGTGTTGGAATGCAAATCTCAGGCCATACTGGAATCTCAGAGGGACCCTAGAAGTGTGAAGGTGTGTGGAATCTCCTCTAACTGCGATTTCTAATGATATGGACCGGGACGTGTATTGCTGTCATAATGTCGGTCCGATATGTGTATCTAAAGCGTGTAAGAATGTGAAGTCTCCCTTGAGGGGGAAAAAAACAAAACAATTATATTCCATTAGCAAATTGATAATGACAGCGCTCCTCTAGCGAATGCTATTGGTAGAACTGCCTATGTGTGTGTGTGTATATATACTTATGAAAACCCTAAAGCGAGATTGTTTATCACTGTCCTTTAGAAAGAGTTATATAGAATCCCAAACCCGAAAAGCATGACAAGACAGAATCTACTGCTAGGGATTTGCTGTTAGAATAGACACACCATAATTGTAATACATTCATTCCATGAAGTTCAGTTTGTATCCCAAAATAGACATCCATTTTAATAAGTATATAGTATAGATACATATTAATATATTAATGGATGTTTTTTTTTTAAACCATATTTAAAAAAGTCAAGATAATTGGGTTTAAAGCCAATATATATGATGACCGACAAAATTTCATTTTGTAGACACAGCAACGCTCCTGAAATCTATTTAGGAAAACCATTATTGCAAATAGCAAAGACAGCAAAAACATGAAAGTGTCCACGACAGAGTATAAAAGATTAAAATAAACCCCGGTGAACACCAATGCATATAGGAAACTGACATCACGTATTTCTTCTATTTATCCCACGTTTGTATTATTTATTTACCCATAGCTCTGGGGGGTTTTAAGCAAGCAATGACAAACATCAAAATAATATATGTATTGCTTCATAGTGGACTGCACTCCAGATGCAGAGTGCATTCATTTCGATATCTTTTATGACAGTATTTGCTTTAGAAAAAAAAAAAGAGAACTACTGAAGCACAAGGTCTAAACACTTTTCAGATTTCTGTCTCTTGAAGCCATGGAGAATGCAGAACGACCCATAGAGGGCGCTCTGAACCCACATTTCACTGCACAAAATCCTGTCTAACCCCATTATGTTATCAGTTGCATCTTGAACAAATCCGTTCACAGTAAAGACCTTCAAATAGACCTTTCTTGAAGAAAACACAATAATAACATTTGCAATCAATTAGTGCAGTGGTTCTGATGATGAGTACGATCGTTGCAAAACTTCGTTTTTGTTTCCCTCGTTAAAATGCTACACGCCATCCATGTTGCATTGTCATTTAATTAATAGCTGACACCAATTGCTGCTTCTCAAGTTTATTTTTAAGACCGTTTGGAAGCCATTGTGTTTTTAGCAAAATTAGGTGATTCCCCAACGGCTTGGACCAACACTTGGATGAAACAAGAACGAACTAAACTAACTTCCCTTTTTTTTTTTCATTACAATTCAAAGAAATAGAGACCGCATCTGATTCAGTTAAATTCTCAACAGTTCATTTATTAACCAAAAATATATACTTTCTTGTACAATTTGATTTTTTAAGACATATGTACATTTTACTATATATACAAAGGAAAAAATAATATGACGCTTAAAAATCACAAGACAAACCATACAAACTCAAATAATGGATGAGCGTATAGAAAGTTTTTTTCCCCTCAGTCTTTACACAAACATGCTTACAATATGTAACTACTCCGAGAAGGTATTTTACAGTCATTACAACATGTAAAAAAAATAAAAAAAATAAAAATGAATGCAAATAAAAACAAAAAAAAACAAATGTTATGAGGAGGAGAGTGCAGAGAGAATCATAGCAGCGTCGAGTTGGTTTTGTGACCTGAAAATAAAATATTCAATATATTAGTACATGGATTAAACTTTACTTATAAGTTTCCATTAATTACTCTTTTTTTTTCTTTTAAATAATTTATGCTGCTTAATTCTAAATTACATCTTCAGTGTACAAAGTTGATCACTGAACATTCAAATGGTGATTATTTTGAACGTGAATTCCCATGTTTGTTTTCTTGCTTGCTTCAACTACCTTAATAATTAGCCTGCACTGACATGGTTTACAAGCCTCATGAAAAGTCGTTTTCTTTTTTTAAAAATCCAGTTTAAACAGAGTAACTTCTGCCAATTCTAATAAGTGTTCTCAGCAGCTCTAGTATACAATTATGTGGTCATAATGACAGACATAAAATTAAATATAATTGTGAAGCGCTCATGATTCATAGGCCCATTAAGAGCAATAATGGTTTGCTGTAAAAAAAAAAAAAAGGGAACCACAGAACAAACACAATTAAAATAACTGAAAATACAGCATTTTTGCATTCAGTTCCTGCATAGGTGTATAAGCAGTACACTTAAAAGATATATATATAATTTTTTCTTACCTTCTTTGAACTGGTTGGAAAGCTGTGTTTATAATTTTTTTTTCTACCTCCAGCGAGCTTGGCCGGTCTGCAGGAAATTAAAATGAATACAATTGTAACAAGGTATAATATAAGGCGCTGCTTTTACCGAAGGAAAAATAATATTGAAAACTTTGTATCCACAGAAAAGTTGTAGGCTGATTTCAGTCATCTTAGGTCACAGTTTGCTTTTACTAAACATTATCAACCGGCACAGTGCTTTACGGTTTATTAAAACCAGGAAAGTTATCTGTCCTTAATTATGAGACAATTGAGCAAATTGATCAAAATAAGAGCACATGAGTGCAAAAATCACAAACAATAGGCATATGCATTCATTAGCATCTATAGACTGCCGCTTACAACGAATCTCACTTCCATACCCAACTACTATGACCGAGGCAGTAAAAATATGACTAATCTGAATACATCTAGACCCTCAATAATACTTTGGTGTTGATTAGAATAAAATTCACTCTAATCTGTGTTCATTTCGAATACTTAGCCAGCTTTAGATAGGGATGACAAGTTTTGGTAATCCCCGCAAAGCTGGCTGGGTGTTAGAAGTGGACCCAGGGTAGGGTGTACATTGTTTCTCTAGTAAGTGAAAGGCACAGTGCAGTCACCTGTTACTGGGTCTCTGCTGTGAGCGTGTTCCCCATGAGTGTTGAAGTTGGCATTGCCTGCACCCGCTGCTGTGTGGGTGACACCCAGTCCATGCAGAAAATGAGCAGAGTTCAGTAAAGAGAACTGTTGGGCAGAAAATGTCCTCCCTGCCCAGCTCTGGAACCTGCTTCCCGGACAGCTGATGAGTCTGGGTTGTGCCAACACGTTCTGGCTGTTTGCTGAGCCACTGCTGCCCTGGGGAGACTTGCGCGGGTTATCCGGAGCAGTGGCTGTTTCTGCCAAGGACCAAATTTTGGGCTTCTGTGCCGCCAGAAGGTTATTTTCCTGGGTGGGATTGGGGGAAATATTGTCCATTTTGAGCTGCTCGCATTGAGGTTGATGAGGCTTGGCATCCTCAGATAGTTCACACTTGTCCTGTACCCTGCTGTCCCCAACCACAGACTTGAGGAACCTTTCCTCGGAGACATTCAAGTCCTCAAAGCCATCTGAGCCCTCAGAGTCACTCCTAGCGTCTGTTTTAGAGTCTGAGTGGATGTCAGTGTCCTGGTCATCCAAGTCTTCTTTACTTTCGACATCCTCAGTGTCGATATTTTCCAAATCGATCTCCTCTTCATCCTCACGCTTGTCCTCTTCATGATCACTTCCATAAGAGTTCCCCTCCTCGTCTGTCCTGCTCCTGGGGGCCCAGGTCATTTTATTTTCCTTTTTAAGCCTCCTCCTGGCATTGGCAAACCAGGTGGACACTTGGGTGAGCGTCATCTTGGTAATGATGGCCAACATAATCTTTTCTCCTTTGGTGGGATAAGGGTTCTTTCTGTGTTCATTCAACCAGGCCTTCAGAGTACTGGTGCTCTCTCTTGTGGCGTTTTTGGGCCTTGAAGGGTCACCAAACTGGTACTGTCCATATGTGTAAAAAGCTGGGTGATGGTGAGAGAAAGCTGAATGTTGTACCCCTGGGCTGTCCTTCATCTCATATTGGGATCCCTGGATTAAAAGAAAACTAATTTAATATAAAGTTCAAGAATGTCACCAGCACACCATTTAAACGTGAAGCAGATTCAGTTTAATGCACATGTATGTCATTCAAGTACATGTACATTCATTTAAGTACATTAATGTAATATATTCACAGAAACGAATGGTGTAATACAATGTAATAAACAAGAGTCCTGATGTGGAGCATTCCTAACATTTTATTATTTTTATTATTATTATTATTATTATTGGTTTTATTATTATTTTTCTTATTATTACTATTATTATTATTATTCGGTCTCCACCGTCTAATACTAGTAAAGACTCAAACTTTAATTCACCTTCTTGCCAGGAATAGAGGAAATAAGTAAGATTCCATAACTTAGGCTTTTGTTTTTTCCCCCCCATTTTGATAACTTCATCTGTTTCCTTTCACACGTTTGGTATCTGATCTGTCAGCCAAGCACAGCTAATTTTACAATGAAAACAAACTTTTTGCATAACCCCTGCGATCAGAGCAAACAAGCATTAGATGTATACTTCCCAGGGAATAAATACACCTATCCCATTGATTTATCGTATATATTTCAATAAAAGTGTCGTACAATTTGTTTTCTGTAATTTTCTGCAAAGGTAATTAATACAGAAAAAGAAAAGCAGTCACTGATCGTGACAATGTTTAAATAGCTCACATTGTAAGGTCAGTATCCCCTAGACACCTCTAACAAGGACGATAAAGGGATTTCGCAGCGCTGGAAGTACTTGGAGGCTGCAGCGAGCGGAGCAGGCAGGAATGAACAGAAAGTACAACGTACAACTCCTCTCCTGCCTGTACTACTTACTATAAAGTATAGCTTTGTGAAGAAACAAGAAATAGGAAGTCAGCATTAGAGGATTTGACATGCAGAGGAGACAGAGGGAGATCCGAGGTGTCCTTACCAGCTGTGGGAAGATAGGGAGCTCCGTGGTGTAGGGGAGGAAGGCTCCATAAGCCTGAGCCGCAGCAGCTGCTGCATAGGGAGCGCCATACATAGACGACAGAACATTAGAAAGAGTCCCAGCCGGAGAAAGTTCAGCTCCGCTCCTGGTGCCCCCAACACCTTGCCGGTCAGAAGGGTACAGAGGTCTGATGTACTGGTAGCCCAGCTGTGGGAAGGACATGGTACAGCAGCAGGGCACAGCAAAGGGGTGACTAGACAACGTGGACCCCTCTCTAGGACTTGGGTCTTTTTCTCAACCTCCTATACATCAAGCAAGAAGGGACCCCGGTCCAAGGCTTGGATTGTACTTGAAAGGCTCCTGGTGGCAGTGTCCTCTCCCTCTGGTGCTATTGATCTGAGTGGACCCAGGTCAGCTTCTAAACAGATTGCTTCAGATCATTGGCACTCACCCTCTGATTGACATTTCAAGCCCAGCACTAGCTCCTCCCAGATCTTCCAGTCTAGCTGCGCTTTCTCTTTCATCCGCCACCCCTTCCTAAATCTCTTTACTGATCTCTGCTTAACCCGTTCAGTGCCGAGGGGCTTCCACCACCAGGACCCGTCACTGGGGATTCGGCGGGGCTTCTGAACTTGGCAAGGGTTAATCGTTTCTGTCCAGTAGTTCTAATTTGGTACAGGGTGTCTGTCCTTCGTGCTATTTTCCACGCGGGAAGGAGACATCGATGGGCTAGCAGCAAAATACACAGAA